AAAACGACTAAGTCCCATCGCCGAATGGGACTTAGTCTCTGCAGCTGAAATAAGGCTGAAAAAAACGGCTGAAGAAAAGACTAAGTCCCATCGCCGAATGGGACTTAGTCTCTGCAGCTGAAATAAGGCTGAAAAAAACGGCTGAAGAAAAGACTAAGTCCCATCGCCGAATGGGACTTAGTCTCTGCAGCTGAAATAAGGCTGAAAAAAACGGCTGAAAAAAAGACTAAGTCCCATCACGAATGGGACTTAGTCTCTGCAGCTGAAATAAGGCTGAAAAAAACGGCTGAAAAAAAGACTAAGTCCCATCACGAATGGGACTTAGTCTCTGCAGCTGAAATAATTTCCCATTTACTGAACCAAGTGGGAAATAGCAAGGCAGGCACAAAGGGTTTGCACCAGGTCTGGGGACACAGGGGACACCGCCTTAAAGGGGCCGTGTCCCCAACAAGTCTGGGGACACGGCCTTAAAGGGGCAGTGTCCCAATCTTCCTGATGTCCCAAAAAAGGTGTTTAAAGGGCCAGCACCAGTCACATAAAGAGTCCATAAGCCCCAGTATGCCCACTGACAGTCTTAAAGGCCATACACACCAAATAAAAGTGCATACATTTTCACAATCTCCCAGGGGCCATAGTCATGCGGGAGGAGGCTGGCAAGTAGGGCAATTTGCCATTTAAAGGGCCCGTTACAAATAGCAGTTTGTAACAAGGTGTCAATCCATATCTGCCAAGTGACCCGATGTAGGGGGACCAGTCCCTATTCTGCTCTGTGTCAGTGTGTATCAGGGAACCTTAGGACAGGTGTCAATCCATATCTGCCAAGTGACCCAATGTAGGGGGAACAGTCCCTATTCTGCTCTGTGTCAGTGTGTATCAGGGATCCTTAGGACAGGTGTCAATCCATATCTGCCAAGTGACCCTATGTAGGGGACCAGTCTCTATTCTGCTCTGTGTCCGTGTGCATCAGGGGCTCTGAGGACAGGTGTCAATCCATATGTCAAGGTGTCAATATGTCATATGTCAGGTGTCAATCCATATTGATTGTGATTTAGAAATGTTAGGTGATTTCTGCCCTTTATGGATTAAAACCAGACTCTGTATCAACTGTGTAATTTTCCATGGGAGTTTTGCCATGGATCCCCCTCCGGCATGCCACAGTCCAGGTGTTAGTCCCTTGAAACAACTTTTCCATCCCTATTGTGGCCAGAAAGAGTCCCTGTGTGTTTTAAAATTCGCCTCCCCATTGAAGTCAATGGCGTTTCGGGCGGTTCGCCGGTTCGCGAACATTTGCGGAAGTTCGCGTTCGCCGTTCGCGAACCGAAAATTTCGGGTTCGCGACATCACTAGTGTGTATATGTCTGTGTATTTGGCAGTGGATGTGTGTGTCTGTATGTTTACCTGTGCATGCATAGTGTGTATGTTTGTCAGTGTATGTGCCTGTCCGACAGTGAATGTTAAGTAGTGTGTGTGTGTATGTCTCTCTGGCATTTTTTTTTATTTTTTTATAATTCTTTATTTTTGCCGTGCATAATGACAGATTTAGGTTTACAATACCATGACAGTAATATTGAAGTGACAACATAGCTCACAATGGATATTCACAATCAGGTGCCTGCACTGTAAGGTGAGGATTAAGGTCTAGTCATTCCAGTAGGTGTGTGCTCCCTAGGTTAGGTTGAAATGTTTGTAGTTCTTGACTACATTTGTGGCCAAGTTCTCGTCTGTAGCATTATGTGTTGTCCTTGGTGGCACAGGAATGTAGAAGTTGTCGTGTGCCTATTTGTGTCTAGGGCTCGTCTATTGGAATGTCTCTGTTACCTTTTCTGCGGATTAACTATGTGTGGGCGATCTTCAGGTCAGTGTGGTTGGTATTAACATCGTTTTGGTGCTGTTCTACAGCTCCTGACCTTTCTGCCGTGCCCTCTAACCTATGGGGTAACGGGGGGGGGAGGGAGGAAGGATAGTGGAGATCCTATGGGTCTTGGCGGTATATTGAACGGGGGCCTGAGTGACTGACTGGGGCTCTGGTGATCTTCTAACAGTGGCCAGTAATATGTATGCAGCCAGGTGTTCCTGTACCCTTGGTGTAGGGAAGGAAAAGTACAATGGTTAAACTTCGGGTGTAACAGTGATTAGATAACAGTTAACATTAAGTGGCTTAAGTTCGTGGTTTGCATATGAGAGGATCTTCATTCAGTTTCTGGAGTTTAGAAATTAACTGTGCAGCTTACTAAGTCTCTGTTAAACTCGCAATCGGCGCGTACTTTCATAAGTCCGTTTTTGGCCCAAAGTTTTTGGACTGAGTGAAATGTCTCAGGAGGTTGGAATGGGTGTCTGAGGTTAAGTGTCAGTGTCCCGTCTGTTCCTGGGTGTGAAAGGGGTGATGTTGCTCACATCCCATTCAGCCGACATTGTCGGCGTGTCTTGCGTTGCTGGCAGCTCCAGTGCCTGTAGGAAGGCTGTACACTCAGAGGGACTAGAAGCTTTGTATTGTTTCCCATTTTTAATCACTGTGAGGGTTCTGGGATGGGTCCAACGGTATGCCAGTCCCGCGCTTTGAAGGGCCTTGGTGATTGGTTGCATGGATTTTCTCCATAGTAGCGTGGCTCTGCAGAGGTCTTGGAAAAAGGTGAGTGAAAAGGATTCAAATTGTAATGGCGTTTTCCCCTTCAGAGCTGTGAAGATCCTTTGCTTATCTGCATGAGACTGGCAACATAAGATGATGTCTCTGGTTGAGGTGGTGGGTGCTTGGGGAGACTTAGCGATGCGGTAAACTCCTTCAAAGGAGAATTGCTTGGCCGATCGTGTCGGTAGTAGGAAGGCGATCAGTCGCCTGACAAAATGTGGGAGCTCCTCGGGGGGGAGCGTGTCAGCGACCCCCCGTATTTTGATGTTTTTACTCCTGCTTCTGTCTTCTAATTGTTCCATTCGGCTCGATAGGTGTGTATAGGAGGAGTTAAGGTGTTGAACTGTGTCCCCAAGGCTGTCTATACCCTGTTTCAGTGAGGTGATGTCTGCCTCTGTGGTGTTTAGTCTAGCAGTTACCTGCTGTACCTCTGTCTTCACTGCTGTGATGTCCTTTGTGAAGAGCTTCTGCATATGGAGGAATAAATTGTATATGTCTCCTTTTGTGGATGGAGCTTCTCTGTCCCCTGACAAAAGGGACTCCAATTCTGGCGTGTTTTCCTCCATGAGAGTAGGTTGGGCTGCAGGCCGCGGGTGCGCCATTTCTTTTGCGCGTGGCGCTGAGCTGAGCATTTGCCCGATATCTTGGCCCTCTCTGGCTGGTGTTTGGCTTTGCCGCGGGTTTTTTCGGCCCATTGTGTCGTCGGAGGGGTCGCCCAGGATGTTATTGGTGAGGAGGTCGAGGGTGGCCCCGAGGCTACCGTTCCACTCCAGCAGCCGGCTGCCCGCGTGGTAGGCCCGAGATCCTCGGCGCCGGATTTTAGTGGTCGCCGGGAACAAGAAGGGCATCTGCGGGTTCGATGGGTCCTCCTGCGTGTAGCTCTACGGATATTGTCCGTGTGTGCCTGCTCAAGTCACCGAAATTGTGGGTTTATTAACGTAGATGATCGGAGCCGGTCTGATTTGCGACCGTCTCCATGTGCTGCTTGGCTCCGCCCCCCCGGGGACTGGGTACTTTTATAAAAATAAACTATGAAAACAGCTGGTGCTCAGGATTTGAAAAGGAGAACAAGTCATGACCTCAGCGAAGACATCAGAAAAAACAGGGATTGTACGGGAATCGTTTCTACTGATATGAGGCCAGCCAAGCATGGTAATCAATTAATAGGAGGCAGGAATTTCATCACATGACAGGAGGCTTCATATTTTGCATAACTTTCTTTACTTTATGCCTAAAGCAGCATAAGTCAATCAATAAACTTTAAACCAATCAGTAACAGGCATCACATCCATATATAAAGCCCTGACAGACACATGACTTCCTCTTTCTTTGCTGCTTACCAGCCAAGGCACCGGTCAGAGTATTTTGCTCCAAACTGTTTTACTGATATTGCAATTGTCATTAGTTAATCATTTATTGCTTAACTTTCAGTTTGTTCCAAACTGTTTTATTAATATTGCTATGGTCACTGTAGTTAGACACCGTATGCTAGACATTCAGTTTTAATCCAAACTGGTTTTCTGGATATTGCAATGGTCACTTTAATTAAACTTTATTAATTGACTTTCAGTTTGCTCCAACTGTTTTTATTAATATTGCTATGGTCACTTTAGTTAGATTTCTAATGCTAGACATTCAGTTTTGCTACAAACTCTTTCTGGATATGCATGGCCACTTTAGTTAAACTTTATTAGCTGGTCCTGCAATTTTGCCCTAAACGTTTTTCATTATTTTGCACTTGCCTTCCATTTGGACTTGTATAGTGTGATATTCTCCCCCTGTTACCCTTCCCCCAAATTAACCCTGTATTTTCTGCTTTATTAGCCTGTTTGGTTTTCTGTTGCTGGCACCTTTTCTTTCCTATGCTTTACTCTGGTCTCGCACGGATAGCGTTTTACGCGATCGTGTTTTTTTTGCGATCGTGGCATTTTACCGCGAGCACGCTTTTTTATTCACTGGTGCTGGGACTTCAGAGAAGGTCTCTGGGGGTGGGGGTGTCGGGGCGACTCTGTCCAATACCGGCGGGCCGCGATCGTATCCTCGATCGCGGGCCACACAACACTTTTGCACGCTAACGGCGGCTATCTTGAATGTGAGATTCACGTCGGCCATGTCGTTTAGCCAGTTTGTGATTCCCATGAACTGGCAGCTAGATCTGTACTGTTTAAAATATTTTTCCTGCAAAATAAAAGTTTTACAAGTACTTTTGAGCTCAATACTAATACATATCATGGGCATGTGGAATAAAGGTTTTATATGTACCTATTCTGGAAGATTATGAATAGACTGTTCACTGCTGAGCTCTATATTGTCATATTTCATTGGCATGTGAAATAAAAGTTTTATATGTAACTCTGCATGAATATGTAGGACTGATCCCTGCTGTGTGCATGTAGTGGATGCAGTACTCATGTCTGCTGGCAGTTTGCTCTATTCTGTTCTATACAATTGACATGTTGAATAACAGTTTTATTGTACGTCTGGAGGATTATGAATGGACTGTTTCCTGCTGTGGGCACATAGTGGATGCATTACTCTATCTGCTGGCAGGGAAATTAAATAGAGCTGATAACTTACTCAGCTCCCTACTCCCACTGGACCTCACAACCATTGGATACAGTCCTTTCCCACAGGAATACACCTCCCAGGACACAGTAGTGGAGACACATAACTGAGTGATTAACAGGGGTGACCCTCCTTACGCTGGGTGACCCCCAAGCATAGCAGACACCTCTCCAAAGTGACATTGTGGTACAGGGGTGACCCCCCTTACGCTGGATGACCCCCAAGCGAATCTAGTTCCTGTCCTAGTGACATACATATACTGTGATGAACCCCCTACGCTGGGTGAACCCCAAGCGAATCTTATTCCGGTACTAGTGACATACATATACTGGGGGGAACCCCCACGCCCTCAGACGGGCTCATATCCACGGAGTACGATCTGTTACTGTATGCACAGACCGGGACACACTGGATACATGTATATCGACAGAGCCAGGAAGGAGAGCTCACGGTGCTGCCAATTCTCCACAGTACTATATCCCATAAGGGTGACCCCTTGGATAATTTGGAGGCTACCATATCTCCCCATACATGGGCTACGTCCTGACATTACTGACCACTCATCCTGGTCTTATTGAGGGTGACCCCCTCCTCAGACCACTCCCAGGAAATCTCTAAGTGGTACTGATTGAAACAATTCTGGGTGACCCCCAGTCGCACGTGCAGGCCCACTAAGTAGCAATAAGTGTACTACCGTACCTGACACCTGTTCGGTACCCCACAGACCGAAAGAGTGTCCCAACATGCCATAAGAGACATACATACAGGGGTAACCCCCCTACGCTGGGTGACCCCCAAGCGAGTCTTTCTCCGGTGCTAGTGGCATAGGTACAAAGTGGTGACCTCCCTGCCGGATGGGGTTACCCCCCGGTGCCCTTTCTAGGGCTTCTACCTTCAGAGTACGCTCTGTCATTGTATGCACAGACCAGGGCGTACTAGATGCATGTATTCCGACACCTCTATGCTTCAACTGGGGGATCTGTACGCCCTTCCCTTAACCGAGAAGGAGAACTCACAGTGCTGCCAAAACTCCACAATTCTAGGCCATATAAGGATGAACCCCTTGGATTATACATATTGAGGCTTACACGTCTCCCATACTCGGGCTACGTCCCGACATTGCAGACCGCTCATCCCGGTCTTACTGAGGGTGTCCTCATTCTCAGACCACTCCCCGGATCCTGCGAAAGTGGTACTGATTGATCGAAATTGATCGATCAATACCCCCGACCGATTTTCAGGCGAGGATTAAGGCCGCCATGGCAGCTTCGGGTGAAGAAGTCCGCTAACAACCCATCCGACAGAACGGGTGCAACGGCACCAACACCAATGGAAGCTATAGATACCGACAACCTTATCAGGTCGGACACCTTATCATCTAAACACCATTGGAAGGGCTCCAACGTGGCTTCTCCAAAGGGGAAAGGGAACACCCTGACTTAGCGGAGCCGTTTCTCAGAATGTCCTGTCCATTAATCATCTCAGGCTCCATCATCAGGGGACGAGGACTTCATCCCTCCCCCTTCTCTGGAGATCATGCAAGAATGAAGAGCAGAAGAGTCTCCATCTGAAGAGGTAAAGTGACAAGACCAGCCTAGCAAAAAAGGTTTTTCTTTGGCACACTAGACACTCTTGTTTTGACTCATGCACCATCCGACACCCAGGGTCATCCAAATGGGGTTTACCGGAGCACCTGGCACACTTTGCCCACTTCTGGCTCAGGAGGCCTATGGGAAAAGAAGTCCGAGACAAGCTCAGGGTGGAATTCCTACGCCCTCTATGACCAAACAAGATAGTCCTCACCATGGAGCTCAGTATCACTGTGGTGATATTTATGTCCCGATCAGGCCGGGGTCCATGTAAAGGTGTAGGAGAAGGACTCAAAACTAGTTAGGATGAAATACTGGACATGATCAGCCCTGGGAAAAAATTCTATACTTTGCGGACCTGACCCCACCCAAGACTCATCTCTAGAAGCTCACGATGTGAGGGAATGGGTGCAAAGGGCAATATGTAGGTTGGGGAACGCAAGTCAGACAGGTGCACAGAACGGCGCAAAGCAGCCCGATTAAATATGGATTTCAAACTATTGAAGTTAGGGACTAAGAGCGAGGACCTCAGGCGAACGGACTATTGTTTGGAGAACCATTTATCTCAGCAACGGTTTGGTAGTAAGGAAGAAGCCAGGAGACTATCGTCCAGTCATCAACTTACGAAAACCCAATAGTTTTGGGGCGTACCGACAACCAGGGACAGACTGGCCCAACGGGATCCCGGAAAATTTCCTGGTGGGCCATCAGCACCTGGGG